AGATGATCTTCCTGCTGACTGTAAGGAAATCTGCCTATGTCTCATTTCTTCGCTCTTCTCTTATGCGGCTGAATTTCCCAAGGGAGGAGACAGTTCAAATACCCGTTATTAAGCAGCTCATAAGACCACAGTGCTTCAAAAACACCAGTGAAGACTATCATCTGAGGTTGCTCCTTGTTGTTATAATCCAAGTCAATGTTTGTTGATCGTTCTCTGTTTCTCTCTGCTAAAACAAGTTACATGGAGCAGATCTAACTTTCACAAGAGTCCACCATTTAAGCTCTAATCGGACAAGCAGCACTGGCTTATGGGTCAGACATTCACGTCTCTGTGTCGTCCATTAACCAATGGAAACTTTTGATGTATCCTTTACTTTTATCCTGCAACTCGAGGTTGGTTATCACTTGAATATTTGTAATCCTTATAACACACATTCTACTTACTTCAGGCACACCTACATGCATGTGGTCTTTGTCTTCTCTTCTATAGAAGTCCCCTGGGATTTAAGTTAAACTACAACTATTTGTATATTATGCAGTAAAACAAATATTTTCAATATATTCCTTTCAACAGCCTACTTAGTGTTGATTCTTGAACAACAATCCACAGCAAAATTTCAGAAAACATCAGTGACCTATTTTCTGATTCCATGTTTTTGCAGACAATTCTGTCTCTAAAAGTACATAAAAGGAAAAACATGAATAGCTCCTCTCCCATCCTTTTCAGTTGGCTTCAGCTGAAGAGGTCAGACCTATCTCACACTATTAAGTACCAAAGGGACCCAGAAATCCTTTATTTGAACAAGAAACAAACAACAACTCATCGTACCAGAGAAATAATGGAGAGCAACTTCTTAGGTTACAAGTTCATGGAAACGATTAATGTCTAAGAGGAGCCAGGACACAAATGTAAGGAAAGAAATACTCAGCATATAGGTTTAAACACTCTTATATTTTTTAAACTTGTTTGGTCATTTCATTTGTTGTATAAATCCATTTCTATTATCAGATAAATCTGTCCACTATTGCTCAAATTAGAACAACAAAAATGACAAAAATTAGTGATTAAAAATCTACATGACCTGGACTGATCACTTAAAATTATGGTAGGCCTACCCAATCCTAGTCCTCAAGTAGCACTGTCCTGCAAGTCTTTGGTGTTTTCTTGCTTCGACACACCTGAATTATATGAATGAATGATTAACAGATTTCTGCAGCACTTGATAGCTGCTGAGGAGGTCATGCTATCATATGTAGTAGGTGTGGTGCAACAGAGAGTTATCAAAAACATGCAGAGCAGTGGTACCTCAGGACCAAGATTAAGAACTACTGACTTACACAAGTAGATATGGATTAAAATAATAGGTGTAATGGCATCTTTTAATCAGTGGTGCCTCGCAAGGTCAATGTCAGTGGGCCTCTATGCATGCTGCTACCCAAAGTGTTGGAACAAGAAGAGTAACAAAAGGTATCTGTTTAGAACAAAAAGCAACTAGGCTTTCAAGCTACAATCAGATCAGATTATATTGATGAGCAGTTCTTTCATTTGAGACAAAGACTGGGCATGGGCAAAATCGAGTCCAAACCAAGACCACCGCCCCACACTTTTTTGAAACAAAAAATAAAACATAATCAAAAGTCCTTTTAAAAATAATCAGATGTATCTAATCATGTAACTTTCCTTATTTTAATATCATTGCTAAAGTTGTCACTTTTGAAACATTGAATTAAGTCGTACCTACAAATTGTATGGTCATTGTCTTACACTTTGTTGGGACAAGGTCGCAGGGGCCGCAGTGTAAGCAGATACTTCAAGAATTCCCTTTTTCAAGACAGAGCCCGACGCCCCTAAGGCCAGCCGAGAGACAAAGTACCTCAAGCGTGTACTGGTTTGGACCCTTGGCCTCCTCCTGGTGTGATGTGCCTGAAACGCATTCCAAGGGAGTCATCCTGGGGGAAAACCGAAAAAGGTGTTCGAGGTACCTCGGCACACTCTTCTGGATGAGGAGAAGAAACAGTTCTTTTCTGAGCCTCTCCCGGATGTCTGAGCTCCTCACCCTTTCTCTAAAGTAGTGCCCAGCCACCGTGCTGAGAAAGCTAATCTCAGCCGCTTGCATCTCTTTATTTCAGTCATGATCCAGATTTCATGACAGGTAAAGGTTGAAAACATAGACTGACCTGTAAATCTAGAGCTTTGTCCTCCACTTGAGGCAGGAACTCTCCTCCAACCTGAAGGGGACAAGTCAACATTTTCCAGGCGAGAACCAATGCCTTGGACTTGGAGCAGCTGATTCTCATCCATGTTGCTTCACACTCCCAGAGCTGTGTGCCAGAGCTTCCCCAGAATCTTGTACAAGCTGTGCCAGAGGTAGGAATAGAATACCATCCTGACCAAGGGCTCTAGCAGATGTTCCAGGAGAACCTCAGTACTCGCTTGGGCCTGCCAGGTCTGTGAATTCCTCCTCATCCATCGATTACCGTTCATTACCAGGGGGTGATCAGTGGATAGCTCAACTCCTCTCTTCACCCAAGTGCCCAAGCAGAGACAATCGGTAAGCAGAGACTGCAGTTGCTTAGGGGCCCCCGACCTCTTAGGGGCCCCCAACGCCATTGTGAACTAGGACGTCTCTTTGCAGATGTAATGGTGCGAAAAATTCCTCTTAAACACACCTGATATTAGGATGACTGACCGGACCTTATTTATACCCCAACACATGCCAGATTTCAACATGATGGTGAGCCATTTAAAAATGACACCAATAGCAAATCAGACAGTTGTACTTTTAATTACTATGTTAATAACTGTGTATAGTTCATTAGACGGTTGGTAAAAAATACACTCAAATGATATGTTTTAAACCGCAATAAAGATCTTAAAAGAACGATGTGTTTCAGTATTTTATTTTTTACACTACGACCCACATAATGTTGCTTACATTATCTTGTGCCCAAGATGTGCAGCTGAAGGTTGGAAGATTCAACTACCAAGTTTATCATCGAACTTTGGCCTATGGCGTCTTGGTGCAAAGTGTACAGATGGACATTTTTATGCCTGAACATGGTGTTCATTATGGAAAATCCATGAGTTGTATGTAAGTCCAATTATGAAACATCACTCAGATCCTGAGCTGGGGTTCTCCTTCTCTCAATGATGCCCCTCCAAGGGACACTGTCTTTTTGTTGTACGTATGATTGTTCAAATGTTGAGGACCAATTATTCCTATTCATAGGCTTCTGCTTGGGTGACATGCCTGGAAAGATTTGAGTAAAAAATTTTATAGTCTGAACCCTTTTTAGCAGTTGTGGTTGGTTCAGCAGGATATTTGTTTTATTTGCTCTCCAGCCTGATCCAGCAGGTGCAGCGGTAAACGTCAAACCTGTGGGTTCCTAAGGTGAGAGCCGTGGTGCTGTTACTATATCAAAGTGATGGAGCCGCTGTCTGACCCAGAGGGAAGATGAATTTACAAAGGCTCCATATGTTCCTGTTTCTATGGTGCAAAGGGCATTTTGTTGTTACTTTACCCAAGCAGCTTAACAAACCCAAAGAAGTTGCCCAACGGGAGGGACAGCTGCTGCGGTTTTGCCAGCATAACTGTTTATTTCTTAAATTGATTGCATTTTAAAACTAAAGTTAGCTATCCTATAATTGTCTTTTTACATTCAGTTGCAAGCAGCTTAGTTGGAAGCTAGCTAAGCTAAAAACTTCATAAGAGCATCCAAACACCAGCAGCAGCTGTGTGGAGTGGACTACGTTAACTTTGACTGGAATTTGCTTAACAAGCAAACTCAGTTCACCTTTGGGAAAGAAAACAAAGCAGTCAATATAGTACCATCCAACATTCTGCCTTCTTTCTTTTTCTTTCCTCTCTTTCTTCCATTGATACTCCAATTTGTGCTTTTTTGGGTAACATGATGTATATCCTCGAGCTATTCAATCTGGATTAATTGACTTTTTACCTGTCATAGTTTCCTGTCTGGCAGACTAAACCATTTTGTACCTCCAAAAGGGGGCCCTGGAGTCTCCAATATGTTGGGCAGACAATACAAAACATTAATTCTCATAAATTGTTATAAACATATTTTGTTTGTATAACAAATGTATAACACCATTAATTGGAGGGCCTAATTCATTTGAAATAAAAACATAAATAAACAAAAACAAAACAGAATTTTTATGGTTCCCTTTCCCTGCTTAGGCCCTGGCTATTCAGGTCCACTTTCCCCACAATACTACACCCACGAGTACTCCTGTCCCTATTTGACAAGACTGAGTTTGGGATCTAAAAAAGGTGTTTTTTATAAGTTAATCAAATAAACAAACTTCAAAATGACCCAAAAGTTGGAATTCAGCTGAAGGACATTTGTAGGACCATAAGACCCATTTGGTATTGGAGTAGTTTAAGGTTCATTTATTTAAACTCAAATGTTTAGAATGTTAGAAAAACAAACAAAACAACAAAAAGTTTTATATGTTTTAAAATGTGAAGGTGCAGAGGGTTTTAATTTTCATTTAAGGAAAAAAAAACAACGTATTTTATTTATTCTGTTTTGCCTTGAAGCACCCTAAGGGAGGGTTGCACCCTGGGCAGAGGGCCATATCACATACATCAATAATAACTGCCAATATCTTTATGAATAATTTATTAATCCAGTAGCTTAAAGGTAAAAGCCAAGTTAAAACATGACATTGATACTTGGAAACACAACAAACAGATTTTGCAATATCAAGTCCTTTTTTAAAGTACCTTTCAGAGCGCAAAATACCCGTGGGCAATGGACTGACATGTGTTGGGACAGGTATGGTAGCAATTACATGACACACTGGGAAATATGAACAGTAATCTGAACTTTGTCTAGGCAGAAAAAAGAACAGTCTTTAGTCAACCAAACTCAGCCTGACTTTTCAAATGCAAATATTCAACCAAAAACTTACAGGTACATTTTAACACACTACTGGTTGACACGCAGGATTTTTGTGCCACATAAAGGTCCTGAAAAGATCCCGCCTCAGCTGAAGCTGGGAGGAGGAGGGTGGGTGGAGAGCTCTGGACTCAGGAGTTATTCGGACCAGAAGTGTTCACAGCAGAACCCACAGTGGATCCTCTCTTAAATAAACTGAATTAAACAACGCTTTTGAGTGGATACGTTGAAAATACGGACTTTTGGCTTAACTTTGGACCAGTTCTACATTATGAAATCTTACTTTTACAGCAGCTGTATATCTTTAGGGACACACATCCTGCAAAGCTTCTTACTCTGCTGAGATGTTCAGGGAAAATCAAGTCATTAAAAAAGGTAAGCCTGTTGTTAAAAAGATGAAGCGGAAACAAATATAGATACATCTATGCTATTATATGTGATTATGTTACATGCGTGCAGACCAAATCAGATAAGTTATTAAAACTTTTAGTAGGTTGGAAAGTTAGAGAAGTGGAGTTTTTTCCTCTGTAAGAAAAAAAAATAACATCTTGATTTAAGCAGTTACCTTTACTCAGAGGGATATAGATCTACGACATGTATAAGGTATATTAACACTGAAAAAAATCTGTTTTGAGAGAGTTTTGTCTTTTTTACCCTCACTTAGTTTCAATGATGATTCAATAAATAAAGTTCTAAAAATAAAGCGAGGACAGGAAAAGTCAGTAGGCAGTTGGGTGTCTTAGGCTTTCCTATTTTCAGTTTCATAACTTTTTCTGTTTTTTACTTTATATATCTAATTTTTAAAGGCCAGCTTTCAATATTGTACTATTACCCTAGTCTTAGACTATGGTGGTAATTTAGAGGCCTGAATCAGTGATAAACTTTTTAATAAAATTTTCCTTTAATTAATTCACATTTTTTCTTTTATTATATATATCTGTTTGTAATAACCCCGTTCTAATACTCATCTTGTTCTGATTGGCAGGGCTAAAATGTGATGGCTGCAGAAACACTGCCAGGTTGAGCAGTTCCTCTATACCAGTGCAGTGACGCCCTCTGCTGTGTGGCCAGGGAAGGTTCAGGATTGGGAAAGCCAGGATGGGGAACCTGATCAAGGAAGGGATGAACACCATCATTGTTAAGCACTATAACCACTCAGGGAAGTGGGACCGGCCTCGAGGTGTGGGCACCTGCAAGACAGTGGTTCTGCTCTTTATCTGCGTGCTCATTGTTTTGGAGAACATCACCGTTCTGCTTGCTCTCTGGAGGAACAAGCGTTTCCACAGTCGTATGTACTTGCTCATTGGCAACTTGGCGCTGTCTGACCTCCTGGCTGGTGTGGCCTATGTAGTTAACATCTTTACTTCAGGGAATAAGACGTATTACTTGACGCCGGCACAGTGGCTGGCCAGAGAGGGGAGCATGTTTGTGGCCCTCAGCGCCTCCACTTTCAGCCTTCTGGCTATTGGCATTGAGAGGCACATGACCATGGTGCGCCTGCGGCCCTGTGAAACAGCCGGTCGAGGGAGACTACTGGCTCTGCTGGCAGCCTGCTGGGTTGTATCAGTACTCCTTAGTGCCCTCCCAAGTCTAGGTTGGAACTGCCTGAAAGATCTGTCTTCCTGCTCTACAGTGTTGCCTTTGTATGCTAAGAGTTACATTGCCTTCTGCATTAGTGTATTTAGTGCACTTTTGGTTGCTATCATCATCCTCTACATCAAGATTTATCGCCTGGTGACCTCCAGCGGCCGTAGGGTGAGCAGCCGGCCCTCAGAGTGCTCTCTGGCACTTCTGCGGACAGTTGTGATTGTTCTTGGACTGTTTGTCATGTGCTGGGCCCCCTTATTCTTCCTCCTCCTGCTTGATGTTGGTTGCAGTCCGGATAAGTGCCCGGTCCTGTACGAGGTGGACTGGTTCATCGCCCTGGCCGTGCTTAACTCTGCTCTTAACCCTCTGATATATACCCTGTCCAGCAGGGAAATGAGATCAGCATTTTTTCGATTGCTGTGCTGCTCCAACACCAGTATGGAACAATCTGGGATACCTGCAGCAGGTCATCCAAACTTAGGAACAATTATTCCCACTGTGAAAAACAGCAAGTCCAGTGTGGGCGGAGGCAGTGGGGCTGGCAAATCAGCACTAAACAGAGGGAAGATTCCCATACCTGCAAACTGTGAAAATAAGAATGCAGATCCTTCTCCCACTGCAGTGATTCATACAACTGGTCCGACAGACCTGTTCTCAGCTGTGCTTGTAAAGGCAGGAGCGCTGCCATCCCTCAGCAAATTCTGAGTGTAATCACCTAAAAAATAGACTTGTATCAGACATTGTCTTTTTATTAGCCACTTTTTGTTTGTGCACTATGGCTCATGTAGCTCAGACACATACTTCAAAAAGAAGAATTTAAGATTTCCTTCTAAATCCTTTGAGTCCATTACTAACACTTACGGTTACATAACAGTGTTTGAAATCTGTCTGATTTTCTCAGTGGCATTTATAACCATGAGATACAACAGGACAGTGTATGCTGCAATTAAATCTCTTTACCATGCTAACTGAACAGGCTTCACATTTCAATTACTCTAAATAATGTGTTTGTTAGTATATTTATTTGGTTTTCATTTCCTCAAAAGTTACCAGTATTCCGATCTTTGCACTTTGACATGGTGTTTTTTTTTTTTTTTTTTTTTTTTTTTTTTAGAAAACCTCCTTTTTTGTCACTTTGAAATTCTTTATTATTTATTTTATTTGAAAAATAATCCAATATCAAATCTCTAAAATGTTAAATGTGTGGTTTTGTTATTTTCTTCGTGTAATTCTAAGTGACACTACATATTTACAGCATTCACTTTTTTGGAACTTGGAATTTGGTTTCCTGATATTTTTATGAAATAAACTGGTTACTTTCCTAAAACTTAGAGGATACTTTCCTTAAACTTAGAGGTTACATTCTGGAAATCACTAGCTATCCTCTTGGAACTTATTTACTTTCTTCATGTGGCATTTGCCAAGTCCCTATGTTTTTTTATGGGTAGTTTTTCTTTCACTTTCTTGGTTACCTAGTTACCAGGTGCTTTCCATGGAAGTACCTTGCAAGCTCAAAAAAGTAACCTCTAAATTTCAGAAAGGTTTCTGTTATTTTCTGGAGAGTAACCAGTTTCAGGTAAGTATTTTCTTGGTTTTGAGAAATTAACAAGTAAAGTTTGTTAAAGTGAACTAACCGCTGAGTTCAGGAACGTACAAGCTGTTATATAGTACTGCCAACTTTTATGGTACTTTGATTCTATTTCATACTTTCATTTTATATATTTGTTGTCCACTGTGGGAGAGAAAAATATACTGCTGGACTAGCAGCCTAATTAGGCTGTGATGTGTTTTTCGAATAAGGTTTCCTGTTCAGATAAAAATAGATCTGTAATTTCTTTAGAGTCTAATTTTTTCCCCCTGATGACGACTCTAGAGGAGAACCTGAGAAACTTAATTACTTAGGTTTTCAGCAGATGTGGGTCTTCATCTAGGAGCTTTTGGGCAAGATTTGTATAACTAATCACACTCATAAAGTAAATACTTGCTTCTCACTAGCGCACACAAAAACCACTTATGTGTCATCTAACCACTTGTCAATGAGAATGTTGGAATGGAACTATTTAAAGATAAGAGATTGTATCTGGGTGTCGTAGTGTCTGTTACAGCTGCAGTAAAAATAAAATTATATTCTCTTATCATGTTTTCAAATAGTATGTATTTACCTTTCCTATTTCTAAGCTGCCTGTGCTCATTTTAATTTATTTTTATTCGTTTGACTGTTATTTGGTGTGTAACCTCGCAACACATCGCTGTTATAGTTCTTTTATGGTGTTTATGTGTCATTTCGGTTTAAATCCTTCGGTTTAGCCTGACTGTCCACTTTTACAAAATGCACAGGGTCAAAAATCATACCTACAGATTGGGGTGTTAAGCAAAAAAAAGAAAAAAAAGTTTGAACCTTATAATATAATAAAGTCTGTGAATGTTCAATAATTAAAATTTTAAATTCAATTTTCAGTTCAGTTATTTATATAGCGCTAATCACAGCACATGTCATCTCAAGGCACTTTACAGAGATAATTCAACCAGACCATGTGGTCAGATTGGTTCATAATTTCTATCTAAGGAAAACCAGCTGCTTGGCAGCAGTCCAGCTGATATTTCTCTCCAGGATGGTGTCACAGCCAAACAGGAACAGACCAGATGAAGCCACTATGATGATATACAGGTGCTGGTCATAAAATTAGAATATCATGAAAAAGTAGATTGATTTCAGTAATTCCATTTAAAAAGTGAAACTTGTATATTATATTCATACATTACATACAAACTCATATATTTCAGATGTTTATTTTGTTTAATTTTGATGATTACAAATGACAACAAATGAAAATCTCAAATTCATCATATCAGAAAATTAGAATATTACTGAAGACCAATAAAAACAAAGGATTTATAGAAATGTTGGCCAACTGAAAAGTATGAACATGAAAAGTATGAGCATGTACAGCACTCAGTATTTAGTTGGGCCTCCTTTGGCCTGTATTACTGCAGCAATGCGGCGTGGCATGGAGTCGATCAGTCTGTGGCACTGCTCAGGTGTTATGATAGCCCAGGTTGCTCTTATAGTGGCTTTTAGCTCTTCTGAATTGTTGGGTCTGGTGTATTGCATCTTCTTCTTCACAATACCCCATAGATTTTCTATGGGGTTAAGGTCAGGAGAGTTTGCTGGCCAATTAAGAACAGGGATACCATGGTCCTTCAACCAGGTACTGGTAGCTTTGGCACTGTGTGCAGGTGCCAAGTCCTGTTGGAAAATGAAATCTGCATCTCCAAAAAGTTGGTCAGCTGCAGGAAGCATGAAGTGCTCTAAAACTTCCTGGTATGTGGCTGCGTTGACCCTGGACCTCAGAAAACACAATGGACCAACACCAGCAGATGACATGGCACCCCAAACCATCACTGACTGTGGAAACTTTACACTGGACTTCAAGCAACGTGGATGAAGTGCCTCTCTTCTTTTCCTCCAGACTCTGGGACCTTGATTTCCAAAGGAAATGCAAAATTTACTTTCATCAGAGAACATGACTTTGGACCACTCACCAGCAGTCCAGTCCTGTTTCTCTTTAGACGCTTCTGACGCTGTCTGTGGTTCAAGAGTGGCTTGACACAAGGAATGCGACAGCAGAAACCCATGTCTTTCATACGTCTGTGTGTGGTGGTTCTTGAAGCACTCACTCCAGCTGCAGTCCACTCTTTGTGAATCTCCCCCACATTTTTGAATGGGTTTTGTTTCACAATCCTCTCCAGGGTGCGGTTATCTCTCTTGCTTGTACACTTTTTTCGACCACATCTTTTCCTTCCCTTCGCCTCTCTATTAATGTGCTTGGACACTGAGCTCTGTGAACAGCCAGCCTCTTTAGCGATGACCTTTTGTGTCTTGCCCTCCTTGTGCAAGGTGTCGATGGTCGTCTTTTGGACAACTGTCAAGTCAGCAGTCTTCCCCATGATTGTGTAGCCTATAGAACTAGACTGAAAGACCATTTAAAGGCTTTTGCAGGTGGTTTGAGTTAATTAGCTGATTAGAGTGTGGCACCAGGGGCCATCAATTTTGAACCTTTTCACAATATTCTAATTTTCTGATATGATGAATTTGAGATTTTCATTTGTTGTCATTTGTAATCATCAAAATTAAACAAAATAAACATCTGAAATATATGAGTTTGTATGTAATGTATGAATATAATATACAAGTTTCACTTTTTAAATGGAATTACTGAAATCAATCTACTTTTTCATGATATTCTAATTTTATGACCAGCACCTGTAAAAGCAGAGAGAGCATAGAGTTAGAGGTTGAACTAACCCATACTGCAGAATGGGAGAATAGAGGTCAATGAAGCACAATGATGAAAAGAGGTCCCTATATCCTCCAGCAGTCTAAGCCTATATCAGCAAAACTATGGAGATAGCTCAGTATAACCTGAGCCACTCTAACTACAAGCTTTATCAAAAAGGAACATTTAAAGCATAGCCTTAAAAGTAGACAGGATGTCTGCCCCACGGACTAAAACTGGAAGTTGGTTCCACATGAGAGGAGCCTGAAAAGATCTGCCTCCCATTCTACTTAAGGGAGCACAAGTAAACATGCAGATTGAGAGTGAAGTTATCTGTTAGGAATATAAGGAACAATCAGATCTCTGGTAAAAGACAAAGCTTGGCCATTTAAGGCTTTATACGTAAGAAAGAGGATTAAAAATTTTATTCTTGATTTAAAAGGAAGCAAAGGACGTTAAGCTGGGATAGCAGAAATATGATCTTTTTAATTTTAATCAGGCTGCATCATTGTAGATCAGCTGGAGGCTTTTAACTACAGTGTGTGGACTTCCTGATAGTGAAGTATTAAAATAGTCCAGCTTTGATAGGGGGGGGGGTCATAGTTCTGTTAGCCTGATGTTATGTTATTCTACAGGTTTAATGGTATGCTTTTTTATGCATTGTTTTGTGTGAGTTTGGAACCTTACTATATTGAAACATCCCATTGTAACGGTTGCTTTCAGGGAAATTTTGAAAAATGTTGTTTTAATCCTCCACACAAAGTAATGCACTGGTAATTGACAGTGAAATGTCCCCAGCTTAACTTCTTTAAGTGCTGATATTGTGGCTAGATACATTTGTCTTTTTTATCTGCATTATTTGTCCTTTGTGACAAAGATTGTGATTAGCCAGGGCTACTTTACAAATCCTCTCCATTTATGGTGGCGTAAAGTTGTTTAACTTTGGACGGTGATTATAGTGTTGACAAGGTCTCCTTGCATTACCAGCACAGGCCTCAATGGTAAATTTAGTGTTCCATCAGGACGATAATAGCAAACCTTGATGAACTTTTTATTAATGTTTGAAAGTGAAATCCATGCTAAGAAAACTTTCTAGCGTCACTGAAGTAGGCCTGCAGTTACTGTACTCTGCAATGCATATATGCATATCTGTGGAGTTATATATATATTGTATATCTTTTGAGGCAGAGGCTTTATTCACAATTTTGACCCTGTGTAGGTTAGTAATAGACCACAGTTAACTACAATTTTTGGAGCCAATTCATTAATAAAAAGAACAAAAAAACAAATTTTATAATTGCAACATTAAGGCCATCAATTAATAGGACTGCAACTAAATTGCTCACTTGTGCTATTGATTTTAGATTTTACTAATATGGTCTTATAAAGGCTTTCACCATGCATCAATCATTTATATCATTATAGAAATAATTCAGCTGGTCAGTTTATTAATTGCTTTTCACAAAGGAGACAGAAAAGCTCCTCAGATTTCACCTTCTGCACTCCTTTATGAAAAATCCTAATGTAAAACTGATTGATGCTCTCATTTTGCCTTTCATTGCCAGACTGGGGTCAGACATGAATAAATAATGCAAAGAAATTCCTGATATTATTACTGGCAGTTTCCAGACACTCAGGTCACTTATCAATTAGTAATGAAAGGAATATTGCATGAAACTGCTAGAAGAAATATGTTCTGTCAAGGATTGAATGCATTTGAGCTCATTCACAAGTTAAATGATCTACCGACGTGGCAAGACATTTGGAAAAGGGCACCACATAAAGGAAAATCCACTGGAAGATTATTTTCTTTTACTAAAATTCCTCAAAAAAAAAAAAAAAAAAAAAATCAACCTGCCTTACTGAGGATTGGTTTAAACCAAGCTGATCAGAGAGCTGATTATAGCCTAGTGTAATACACAAAGCACAGTGTGCCTTGAAGATCAGACAGGAGCTGACAGACTGGCATTTTATACTCACCTCCACTAAAGGATGTGTCTCAGCTCTGCACCTCCGGTTCTGTTGAAAAATGACAGCGAGGACGCAACACCAGCAGAGCATTTCCAGCTTAAAGGTCACTGACTTCTTCTTGTCAGAAATGTTTGAACGCTCTTCCATGAATTAGCCAGGGAGGATGGTGGCCTCATGTCATGCCAAGCATTTGAAAATGCCAAAACGTTGAGCAGAAGTGCAATTCATAGTGAGTAAATCTATCACTTCTTGCTTTCTTTTATCACTTTGCTTCCTGACTGCCACAAAAAAGTAAAATAATCTCTTTATTGATAACTTAAAATATCTTATATCTTAAACAATAAAAGCTAAATAAGCACCTAAAGTTTGGACAAGTGTCCAATCATCAGTTTTAATTTCTTATATCGAACATATTTCAGAATAGACATGTCACAGAAAACATAATGTAATATGTTTTGTTTTTATCTAAATGATTGATCTTTACTAAGGTGGCATTAGAAAACAAAACATCCAACCAGCCATCTATTAACCCTTTGCGTATCCACGATCGGCTTCTAAAGGTAACAGCTCAAAAGAGAAAGAAAGGATCCTACTCATTAACACAATCCAGCCCCTAATTAAATAATAACCCTAATTTATTCCCAGGTCAAGAGGGAATGTGACCTGAGAAAAGCAACAGTGGGACATATCTGGAAAACGTCCTGAGGGAATTTCCCAGGCAGTATCCAATACCTGGGCCAACTCAACTGACTTCCTTCGATGAAGAGGGGCAGCAGATGGGGACCCGATTAATCTAACCATCTTACTACCAAAACGATAGCTGACCTCTGCTAGAAAAAAGGCTGTCTCCTAGTGAATCAGCAGTGCAGTGTTCTTAATGTTGAAAAGCAAT